TTTAAGACTGAATCATTGTAAGAGCTTCCTCTGTGGTCCCATCTCGTACACCCTCCCATAGTACAGCTAGGATGCTCTCACTTCTCTTCTTAAAGCCTTCAGTGGATTCTGTCTCCCCACTTACCCAAACGCACATCTGAATTCAAGGTCCCCCAAACTCTAACTCCAAGCTATAATTTGGGCCTAAATCCTACTGCATCAGGTTATGCAACCTCCTCTGCAACCATGCTCATGTACTTGCTGGGCACGTTTTACAATTTCCTGTCTCTGTGCCTTTGCTCATATTTCCTACAGCTGGAAAGTCACTTTTCCTCCACTCTCCCAATCACGGCCTATCAAAAAGGAATTCTTCCTTCAAAGCCCATTTCAAATACCACCCCCTTTGGTTAGCGTTCCTGGAGACCCCAGACTTTGTGCTCACTTTGTGGGGCCACCAGGGCCCTTAGCATATACTACCAAGCATGGCAGGCATGTAAATGTAACGCCAGCTCCCTGGAGTGCAGGGGTGGCACCTTGCTTCTTTTCACAGACATCTTACCCATTACAGCACTCAGTGGGTACCCAGACCTTTAAAAAATTGAACTATACGGAGTATTTAGTTCAGAAAATGGGAAGTAAGTGAAAATGAGTTTTCAGTATAGTAAATATTAACGCACCACCAACTGGGCTTACAAATAACATGGACTTAATCTCTATTGGGCTAGGTACTAAAATCAAAAGATAAGAAAGACAGCCAAAGTTCGCCTTTTCACCTTCCATCTCCCTCCAGAGTCTAACACCTTGCAGGTACCCCCCCGCCCCACCAAGTTGGGGCAGATCAAACTATGTTCTTACTAACCTTAGTTGCATCTGAGACAAGAACAGCAATGCCAGGTCACTGAGGAAGTGCTCCCTGTCTACAATTTGACACTAGCCAAATTTGTCTGAGTAAGAGGAGCCACTATAAACAAAAGCCAGGATTCAAGAGACAACCATCCAGGTGCCAGACATGAAAAGTCTTCAGTTCAAATTTCACGACATGTTCTCAGAGTGAAAGAAGATACATGTCACTGCCACCTGAGTAACTGTCTTATGATTTTGAAGAGCACTGCAATATAAAAATCACAAAAAATCATTTTTGGACCATCCATGATTTTGTATTATTCATAATAGGGGCTCCCCTCCAGGTAATTAATATTCTCTACTAGGCCTCCTGTTTTTTCAGGCATTATCTTAATATCAAAGGTCATGCAACATATCTACCCAGCAATGAAGTAGCAGCGCTCAAAGCAAAATCAAAAGGCCTGGTTCCCTATTGTCCTCCCAGAAGCTCAGCGACAGGACATTCTGCGATTTATACACATGTACTAACGCCTAAGACTCTGATGTGGTTTAGGACAAATAGTGGCTTGAGAGAGATGAGGTATATAGCCAAGAAGAATCTGAGATGCTCTGTCAAGATTTGTTACTGAAGTTTACCTACTAATTATACACTTGATAAGCATGTTGAGGGGAGATAAATGGTTATAGAGAAAAAGAGAATGGGGAGAGGGATAATGAACTACAGGATATTTGCCCAACCACGATACCAAAAAATCTGACTTGCAGTTTTTCTCTTGGGTGCCATGAGGTTAACACGTAATACCCATTCAACTAAACCTCTATAAATAGTTGGTTTTCCGCAATCACAGCCACTATTCCCACTTCAGTGGGCAGCAGTGTTCAGAGAAAAGCTGGATTTAGCTCCTGTGTAATAAACACCAGAAACCAAAAGACCTGGGAAAGCTGTTTATGTCTGTGCCCACCAGGAACCTTCTCTGACATAAATGCGCCAGATGACTGGTAAGAGCCTAAGGATCCTCAACAAAGATTCCGGAGTGAGTTCTTTAAACTAGGTACTACCCTCCACTCCTTCCTGGTTTTTCAATTAATAGAGTTTTTGTCAAGACTAATGAAAAACAGGTAACTTCTTTTTACACAGGCTCAATATGTTAATAAATGGAAAGTAATTCTGTACTTTTCACAGCATTTAGCTACTTTACGTAGTATTTGGAGTTGATAAGAACAATCATTTTTCAGGGTTTTCATGTACTCTTTATAGACATTATCTCACTTAAATCTCAAAACAATTCTAAGGGGTAGGAATTAGAATTAGGACCTCGTTTTATAAACACAGAAATTAAAGGACACAGGGGTGAATAATCTGCCTAAGGCCTTATAGCAAGTAAGTGGCAGAGGGGGCAAGAACCTTCACTTACTTCACTCTCAGGCACAGCAACTGCTAAATATATGTCCACATTTTATAAAGATTGTAGCACCTATAAAATTCTCATGCAAAGAAACACCATTTTGGAGAAAAGAATTCTCAGTACTTGTCAGGATTTGACCTGAACTTTGCAATGAACAGCTCGAAGCAGACAGCACAGTCCAAAGAGATCATGGAGTACTATAGTTACTGGTAAGGCCGAGAATAGAAAGCAGGTCTGCTGACCCTCGTTCCTACGCCCAATCAGGCGTGTTCTTTTGGATGCTGACACCCTTCTGATGTTTCAAGTCACTTGAGAATGGCAAAAAAATGAGTTAGTAATTCTGGTGGGTAGAAGAGAATATGAAAAGTATCTAGATTAGAAGGATTTACTATAAAAAGTGGCATGACTATAAGAATTCTACCTAGGAAGTTTTGAAGCAAGAACATTGGTACCTATAAATTTTCTCATCTTCTGCAGCAAAAAGTGAAAAATAACCTTTGCCCTTCCCTCCCTGTGGGTTGTAAATGATTAGCTTGGCTACGTTGATAACTAAAGAAAATACGAGATGAGTGCCTCTCCCAGCTCGTTACAATACTTACACATCTGCCCTACTCCCAAACTCCTCCAATGCAACGGAAAAAGACAGCAGGACACTATGAATGTTTAGCCAATGTCAGCCACAATAAATCCTCCACTACTGCAAGTGACTCTCCCTTTAGTTCCAATGATGGTGCCCGGAAAGAAAGGCTGGAAATAGGAAGACTGCTGGGTGCCAGAGAAGGGAGGAGAGGAGCCACAGGGCTGGGAAATGGCGACAGCAGAGTAGTGATGGAGAAAGGTCTTAGGAAAGAGACACCTGGAAAATACAACCAGGTAACTAGCTCAAAGGGTGGGTGTACTAAGAACGTCTCTATGTTAGAGAAAAGGCCATTTACTCAGTCAGAATGCTCAATAAGAAGGGACACTCAAGAGCAAGAAGAAAAACAGATTCGAAGAGTCTTCCCCAGGTTAATGGTTACTCACATCTGTTTCCACTAAGGAGATAAAACACTAGATAAAATTATCTGGCATTTCCAAATGCTAGGCAGTAGGTTTTTTCTTTAATGTTTAATCTTGCTATTGTAAGTTTGTTTTTTAAACAGAAAGATAATTGTCATGAGATTTCTTGCATCAAATTTTTCAAGGTTTGCAACTTTTAGCAGAGCACAGAGGTAGATAAAATTTGAGATATTACAATCTGGCCAATCATACCTTCAGGACAAATCTACTCACTGATCTCTCTCTTATTCATGCAGCCAAACCAAATTTCTACATTTGGGTAAAGGCATTTTAATCTTTAAAAGTATGTATCAAACTTAAAATAACTGAAATCCTCAGAAAACTTAAAAAGTATTTATTTGTTCCACATTAAATATCTCTTTCCAACCTGTTCTGGAAAGAGCAAGAAGTTGATTACATAGATTGGCTCCATAATACATTTTAGTTTAGTATTTATAAACAGTTTTCTCTCTTTATCATTCTCAGTATGTCCTATCTTAGCATATTAGATGCATAATATTAAAAGTTTAATCTACTTATCACTGATTGATACAACTTAGCAACTTCTACAAGACTATGTTTAAAATCCCACAACCCTTCTTTCCCACTGCAAGTTATCACTATCCTTAAGGTGCTATATAGTAAGTGTCCAGAAAAATAGTTCATTTTTAAAGACAGAAGTAAATAAGAGGAAATCAGTAAACAATACCCAATCAGAAAACAAAACAAAAAACCAAAAATTATCCCACCCACTTTTATAATGGATATTTTTCATCCATCTCCCACCCCCACTCCTTAAAAAAGCAGCTTAATGTCCAGGCAGATTAAACACAGATCACTCCCCTCCAAAGTCCTGAAGAGCACGTTGGTCACTGGGCCCTGCTTCTGCCTCAGACACTGTGAAATGGCTGGGCCCACTCCATCTCCCGGTCCCCCATTCCTTGGCCTAGCCAGAGGAGACTTTCTCCCCTACCCTGCTCAGTACCACTTGTGGGAGGGTCAGGAGGGCAGACAATTATAGGTAAATGAGAGTGCATCCCTTCCCAGCACTCTCTTCATATAATTTCACTCCAAAGTTTCCTCAGCAAACCCTCCTACAAGTTTAACAAGAGTATTTATCGCATCTGACCCCAAGCTTTGTGAAATATCAAAGGAATTTTTAAAAAACTGTATTTAAGCAATTTATAAGAACTTTTGTGTATCTGTCCAGCAAAAAGTGCAAACTTTTAGGGCTGGAACATTAAAGGAATTAAAATTACTCTTCCAAACGTAAGAACATTAAATAAAGAAAAAAAAATCCCAACTGAATTCAAAGTAGAGTAAGCTATAAACCTATTAATTCTATCATCTGGTTTAGTTGATGACTTTTGCCAGTTACCAAATCCAAAGTAGTGATAAAGGACATTTTCTATTTCAGCCACTATATTTAAAATTAGACGTTAACTCTCCAGCAACCACACCCCCACCCCGTGATCCCTAAGACCTTTCTGTTCTTACAGTTACAACAGAGGTCCATGTTCTTCATGAGGATAAACATAATCTGTTATTTTACCATCTAAAATCATGAGTTAAAATTAAAAGTCAAGGAAGTAAAATGAAGAGAACTCTAGAACCCAGCCTGAGTCTGAGCACAGCACAGGGTTAAAGGAAACCATTTCATAAGATCAATGTGGAGAAGAAGCAGCAGGAGCGAAGAGGAAAAAATCAAGTTACATAAAGTCCAATTGTACTCACTGTTTCCTTATTGGGAAGCAGCTCCTTTCTAATTCTGAAGAAGTTCTTGCCGTACTGCCTGAGTCCCTTAACGAAGCGTTTCTGTGATAAAAAGAAACAACAAATGGGATGTAAAAACCAAAAACAAAACAGGATGTCAGCAAAGCAAAGATATCTACAATCAGCAGAATAACAACCACAAAGTCTCTGCTAAGGAATATTGACTAGGCTGGGAGAGTATTTCCACAGCATGGCTTGGACCCACTGGCCAGGGCAGGCCCCCAGCAGCCTTCATCAGAACCCCAACCTCACACACCAGACAGGGCAGCGCATTTAAGAGAACGGCATCCTGTGTTTGAAGCTAAGACGCAACCTGTCCCCTCAGCCACCAGACAGACACAGTGTGGTGAACGAAGGTATCAACAAATATGCTCCATGTTTTAACAAAAAAGCACAACTGCTTCCCACCTGAGAACCAAGCTTCCCAGAAGTGTCAAACAGAACAGGGAAACAGAATCAAACCCGGTGACTCTTCTCCAGAGGGCACCCTAGAGGGTTAAAAGGCCCCTTCCCTTAATCCAAGGAATTCACCAGGATGGCACGGGTATCTCGGAAGCCCACTGGGAGCCCGAGTCCCAGCCGGCCTGCCCCGCCATCTCCGTCGTTAAAAGCCACTCCAAGCCACCAAATAAAGAATCAGCACCCCTTCCTTTCTCCCAACAGCCCTTACCGCCGCCCCCCCCCTCCATTTTCGGAGCAGCCTCAGACTCGTCCCCAAGCCCAGCCCGGAGACTTTCACTTTGTCCCATTCCTCCCACGTAGCCCTTCCCCGCCCGGTAGGAGCAGCTCCTGACTCCCCGGCCCCCACCTCGCAGCTCCAAGCCCGGTCTGCGCGGCCGACCCTGGCAGCCACAGGTAAGCACGGTCCGGGGCGAGCGGCGAGAGGCCGCCGCCTGTCACTCGGCTCCCGCTCCACAAAGCGCAGGGCGGAGGCGGCCACGGGCGGCTCAGCGTGTGACCGCGGCGGGGCCGCGCGGCGCGGGGCGCGAGGGGCGCGGGGCTGAGGCCGCCGCCGCCGCCGCCGCCGCCAGGGGAGGAGGCAGGAGCGCGGCGCGCAGAGCCCGGCGCGGCCGCGGGCGGCTGCAAAAGGCGGCCTGGATCGCCGCGCCGCCCTCCTGCCCGCCAGGCCCCGAGCTCCGGCCCCAGCCCCGCCCCCGGCCCGACCCCTGCCCGGCAGTGAGAGCCTGCGGGCCCGTTGCGCTGGTATCTCAGTGTCCTCCTTCCAAACAAGCGTACGTCAGGGCGGTAAGGCGCAGAAACTTCCTCCCTACCGCGGCGAGCGGGGAGAGGGCGCCCGCGGGGTTGGGGCCCTTCCCAGGCTCCTCCGTCTCCAGCCCACGCTCCGGGTAGACAGGGTCGGCAGCGCCTGGGCCACACGTCCACTGCCCCCGCCCCGGCGCCTCAGCTGCGAAATGCGGGGCAGGCCCGGACGACCCCTGTGGTCCCTTCCGGCCGCGATTGTGGGCGGCCGCTCCCGCCCGGCGCAGGCATTAGCCTGCACTTTGCAGGGCGCCGTTTCGTTTCACAACTAAATCACAGCGGAAGCTTCCCAGCCAATAAATCACCTGCCCACCAGGAAGAGGGTCCTCCCACTCCCAGTGTTTGAGACCGGCCAGGCAAATTCAGTGAAGGGCCAGACTTGGCCTGCAAGTCCGATCTGCAATCTCCTACTCCAGTCCTGGAGGCTTTGCGTTTTTGTATTTTACCCTTGCTAAGATGTGACTCATCACTGTCAGTTTTCTATATAATTCATATAGTTTGAAGGAAAAATCTGTTGAGGCACAAGAAAGAAGCTCTCCTCTAGTCTGAAGAAGAGTGACCTCTGTTACTTGATAAAAGTCTAGTTCACATGATCAACAGGCATCCTGGGCTGTGTACACACAGCACATACGCACACAGCACATCCACGGGAGAGATGGCCCTGCCCTCAAGGAGCTCCCGCCTGGCCAGGGAGGCACTCAGGTAAACAGATCAATCTCTGGGCCTACAAGAAAAGCAGCAGAGGAACAAAGGGTGGTGGGTGGAGCTAGGAGGAGGAAGCAACTTACTCTGCTTAGTTAGTGATGTCTTAGAGGAAGTGACAAGGAAGAGCATGAGCCTGCCAGGTGGGCTCTAGCAGGGCTTCAAGACAAGAAGTCAGCCAAGAAAGGCATACAGAACATTCTGGGAACTGCAAGGAGGACAGGGTGTGCAGAATGGAGCGCCAGCAGATAAGACTGAAGAGGTAGGCAAGGCTCAGGTTGCAGGGAGCCTTTCGGGCCATGCTGAGGAGTTGCGATCCTAACTGTAGGCCAGGAGAGATGTTGAAGTATGAGCTTTCCATGAAAAGACTGGATGAGGACTGCTCCAGTGGCAGTGTGCCCTAAGCATAGATCAGGGACAGACCAGTTAAAGAGGCTGGTCACATAGCCCAGGTGAGAGACGAGGAGGACCTGAACTACAGGCACACTCACCCCCAATCATCAGACTTTTGCTTCTTAATCCATTCTTTAAGCATTTAGGTATTTACTGAGCACCTAGCACTTGCAAGTAGTTTTTTTAAAAATGATAAAGGTAGCCATAGACCTTTATTAAGCTGTGATTCATTTTTAGCAGGTAAGGTAAGTATGTGAGAAGTCATTACAGAACACTCTGAGACATTATCCAGCCACACATAGAACAGTCAGGTACAGCCCATCAGTGCAGCAAAGGAAGAAGGCTAGACTGGAGTGGCCTGGGGCAGTCCAGAATGCCTTCACCAGGCAGTGAGACCTGGCTGGACCATGAAGGATGGATGCTGACGCAGGGGTTTGGAGGACCCTCCCTGAAAGACAGAGATAGAGAATGGGAGGTGGGTTTTGGGAGACAGAGTCTACTTGCAGTTGAGGTGAGTGATCCGGACTCAGTCAGACCATGGGACACCAGGACCACGTAATTGAACATGGGCTTGATGCCAAGTGATGCACAACAGGTTTGCGAGAAGTGGCCCACACAGTGAAGGCAGCATGTGAGAAAGGCTGCTTCTGGAACATGGAGTAATCGAAGTTGCACAAGCAAATTGAGATCCTATTTCTTCCATTTATTATTATGATGTAATCCTTTGAACATAATCCATTCAACTAATAGTCACTAAGTACCTACTATACACTGGGAGCCTTGTATATATTAATTCAAACTCCCTGCAACCTAAGAAGGAAGTACTCTTATTATCCCCATTTTACAGAAAAGGAAGCTGAGGCCGGAATGCAAACTAAGCCCCCAAAATCCATACACTTTACTGCCACACTCTCTGTAAAATGCAGAGAAGAGTCTACAGTGGTCACTATTTGCTGACATGGTACCATTATCTGAAACTCTACACTTTCTTCTTAGACCCAACATCAAATCACCAAGCCCTTTGTATTCTTCCCAAAAAAGGTCTCTCACTGCCCTCCTTTCCTGCCCACTCTAGTGCTAGTCCCAGGCCAGGCCTTTATCCCTCTTTCCTAATAACTAGCCTGTTAACCCATCTCCCCCATCAAGCAATTTACAAGCACCTGCCAAGGAATTTTTCAAAACTAGAGACTTCATCGTGAGTCCCACACCATCTTGCCCGCATCCCCTCCCTAAGAATAGCACTGTGGCCTCTGCAGGACGGTGCTTACACCCCTTAGTCCTGAATTCAAGGCCCTCCAAGATCCTACCCCTGTCTACCTTTCCAACTGGACATCCAGTAATGCCAACTGGCCCACACTGGGACCTTTTTATGAACTCCAGAGTCTGGGTAAGACATTCCAGGTTCACCTCAAATCCCTTCCACTCCAAAATGAAACTTCCCTGACCATTCCCTCTCTTTGTTTATTTATTTGTATAAGGCCTCATTTACCCACAAAGTCCACACACTCTGAAAAGACAGGAATCATATCTTCTACCACTTTGCCTCCATACAGCACTAGGCGGTTGGTTCTCACCAAGTTTTTAATGTACAAGTGAAACCAACCATGGGATGATATGGGCCAGGGCTAGGGCAGCCATCATGGAAGTGAACTGTTAAAATTCAAAGGGTCCATTTTGAACTCTGACAAGAGTTGACCTCTTGACCCCAAGACACCAAACTCTCCTTGTGTTCTTCATGCCGTTTAGCCTAATTCTCCACACCACCTCCAAATGCTGGAGTCTCCCCAAAGCTTTGTTCTAGGCTTTCTGTTCTCCATACTTCCTCCCAATATGATCTCCATTGATCCCTTGGCTCTAAATAGCCACCACAATTCTCACCAGTATATCTAAGGCTAAATCTATGGTTCAAGTCCACTGGGAACACTCACTGGTATGTCTCACAGGCATCTCAAACTAATTACTTCCAGAAATACGAATTTGATGTCTGGTGTAAACACAGAACTACCATAGCTGTCAGTGTATATCAATGACAATGCTATCAAGCACAAAGCACCCATGGCCCCATTTAAAAAAAAAAGGAAGTAAAAGCTTCATGTGGCCTATACTGTTACTTCTCTATGGAAAGCCACAAGGCCTCAAAACCAGCAAAACATCTGCTTCTCAGAGACCAGCCTCTACCTTGTGGTTTACCAGAAATGTAGAGTAGCCTTGAAAATCGAAACAAAGACAACCACTCATCACTGTCAATGGCTGGACTATGTCAGTAAGTGAAATAGTTTAGTGAGGCAGTAGCCTCCTTTCCCTCTATGAATTCATCTCTCTTCAAATGAAGACCTTTAAAATTCTTAAAACTTAAATAATTAACACTATCAATTTATAAATAAACAGGTACTATAAGCATCTAAATAAAAGTTGATGGACACAGTCTGTTTCTTAACAGTCTTCTCTAGTAGTTGAGCTGAAATTCAGCATTTTCACTGATGAAATCCAAGGCCTCATGAATGATGTCTATCCTTGTTAGCTTTTCTGTCCCTCACAGTATACAGATATCAGAATACCAGGATGCCAACGGTAGAGGAGGAAAAAGAATGTGTTCATTTAAAAGGCAGTCAGGGCCGGGCATGGGCATGGTGTCTCACACCTGTAATCCCAGCACTTTGAGAGGCCAAGGAGGAAGGATCACTTGA